TGCATGGGCTTATGCTGCCACCTAGCCTGCCACCTATCCTGGCCCTATTCTGCACACATAAATGTTTTGTGTAAAACTCCACCCATCAACTCCAATGGCCTTGCATGCAACAAAGAAAGGAATCCCAAAGGCTGTCACGTAGCCTGAGCCTATGCTGTAAGAAGTGACACCTCTTATTCGCCAAATGGGGTGGCGACACCATTCATTTTTGTAATCTTTCGCCAAGTGAGATGGCGCCTCCCTTACTGTCCAATCGTGATACATGCATGGGCTTATGCTGCCACCTAGCCTGCCACATATCCTGGCCCTATTCTGCACACATAAATGTTTTGTGTAAGACTCCACCCATCAACTCCAATGGCCTTGCATGCAACAAAGAAAGGAATCCCAAAGGCTGTCACGTAGCCTGGGCCTATGCTGTAACAAATGACACCTCTTATTCGCCAAATGGGGTGGCGACACCATTCATTTTTGTACTCTTTCGCCAAGTGAGATGGCGCCTCCCTTACTGTCCAATCGTGATACATGCATGGGCTTATGCTGCCACCTAGCCTGCAAGAGTGACACCTTACATTTTTTGTAAATGCATGCATGCATATGTGTAACACCCTAAGCATGCAAATGTGACACTTCGCAGGCATGCAAGCACAAGCAACCACTACATCAAACTTATTTGCCTATAAATACATACCTTATGAAACATCTCTCACACCCACACAACTCTCACTCTCTGCTACGAGATATTTCTTAAGTCTATCATACTCTCTATTTCTTCCTAAGTCTTTCATACTCTCAAGCATTCTGAATAATGCCTCTTCTAACAATGGGCGATACTCACAGAGGCACAAGGGAAAACATTGCTGCATTTGTAAGTCTATTCTTTGGTTATACATTTTTCATACTTCAAATAACGTGTTGTTCATCTTAATTAATCTTACACTTGTTTAATTATGATCTCAGGATACAAAAAGATTCAGAATCCGTTTGCACAACTACCTGGCTCCCGACCCATTTATCGTCCCTTATCTGGAATATGCAGGTTTTGGACATGTGATAAAGGTCTCCAACTGCACCATTGACTCAAAATTCATTCTTGCAATGTTGGAGAGGTGGAGACCGGAGACCCATACATTTCACCTACCAATAGGTGAATGTACCATCACTCTCGAGGATGTGTACATGCTACTGGGCCTCCCTATCGACGGTAAGGCGGTGAACGGGTCGGTTCAACAACCTAACTCACAGTTTGAAGAACTGTTGGGTAGGGATATGGTAGAAGTTGGTGGAGCAAGAGGGCAGGGAATACTACTCACTGACCTGAAACGTCATTATGCAAGTATGGAATTAAATGAAAATTCCTCAGAGAATGGCCGAGTAGTAAAATCCAGAACGTATCTTATGATACTTTTTGGTACATTTTTATTTCCCGAAAGTACGGGAAATAGTGTAAATTTCATGTACTTACATTTACTAACAAATTTTGAAAAAACTAGAAAATATAGTTGGGGTTCTGCAGTATTAGCCCACCTGTACAGTTCCTTGTGCAAAAACGCAGTCAAGGAAAAATGTACATTTTATGGGTGCGCATTTTTACTACAAGCCTGGGGTTGGTGGAGGATGGAGTCCTTAAACCCCATCAACAACAACACTTTTGGTTTCCCGTACGCAACAAAGTAAGTCATTGAGTTATAGCATTTATAACTATTCTGCTCTTTCCAAAATATATGCTAAAAATAACATGTTTCTCATTTCCTTTAGGTACTGCGCGAGGGGTATGGATTACGGCAAGAATCCAAGATTCAATGTCGCACTCTACCGGAATCTGTTGGATCACTTAGGCCCAGATGACGTACGTCGTAGCTTTTAACTTTTGTTCATTTTAATTATTTATACATTACTTTTGCGCTAACCTGATTTAAATTTTATCGCAGTTCGTATGGAGACCATATTTAGGTTTGGGCCATGCTCCAAACCCAGAGGATGCAGCAACTTGGACTGCAAAGACTGCACTCATTCGGTTCAACCTTGTGGAGATGCACCACAGCGACCGTGTGAAGATGCAGTTCGGAATGCATCAAGAGATACCAAGTGATCCAACAGATTTGTCCCCCTGGCATCTAAAAAGGGTCGACGCCCAGTGGGGTCTTACCAACTGGAAAGACTTTGCTCCGGAATGGTGTAAAATGTGGCAAAGGCGTCACCGCTACATCTTGCAATCCCCGGTTTTCCTTACTCAAGGTAACATGCGACACACTGATCAATATATGTCGTGGTACAGGTCGGTTAGTAACCCAGAAATGCACGTGTCTCATCCGAGATACTTGGTTGACCCATGCACACAATGGGCACAACCCTCGATTCCCCATCAACAAACCCAAAATCCATCAACCTCAAACCAACCCCCAAGAAGAAACAGACCAACAAACACACAACCACATTCCCCACCACAACACAACTACAATCAAATGCCGTACTACCAACCACAATCACCACCAAACTACCAATACCCGGATATGCCTCAAACCCAACCACAATACCAACCCCAATACCAGCACACCCACATACCCCAGACACAATTTCAGTCTTCCACATATCCCAATATGGCGCCCTTAACATCCAGCCTTAGCCCTGATATGGGAATGTCAGAAGATTATGACCAAGCCGACCAAACCTACCATCAACCACCATATCACCAAACAACCCAACATCCACAATACCAAACACCCCAAGATCCATTTCCTTTCTACCCCTCATACTCAGACGACCAATGCTACCGACCAACCATGGAACCCCACCTACCGCCAACACGACCAAACTTTGAGGGTATGGGTAACCGACTGTACCAGAGCGGATCTTCGAGATATGGAGATCTTACTGATTTTATGGATTCGGATCGCATTGACTTCGTTGGGCCATCGACCTTGCCGCAGCAGGAAACGCGACGGCACCCAGCAAGAGAAAGTCGAGGACGGGGATGCGGAACCGGGGGTCATTACCGGGTTCCGGGGGATCACTGATGTATCTTTTTTTTTTCCCAGTATTTTTTGTATCCATTTTTTTTACTGTTCTTTTAATGTAAAACAGTTGAATGTAATTTTTTTTTAAATAAAAAATCCATTTTGTTGATCTCTGTCTAATAGGCAACGCACAGGAAAGAAAATAAAAAAAAAATTTTGCCCTAAATTTGTACATAGGCGCCATCTCACTTGGCTTAGGGCATGTCCTAAGCACTTAGGCGCCAAGTGAGATGGCGCCTCCCTTAAAAAAGGAGGTGCATGCGCCAATTGAGATGGCTCCTCCTTTGTGGAGCCATCTCAAACATGGTTATTTGCGTAATTTTTTCCGAAACCCGGTTATTTACGAAATATTTTTTTAATACATGGTTATTAATAAAAAAAATTCTAAAAATTGAATCTTTTGGGAAAGTTATCTTAGGTTTAACAAAATAGTAAACAAACAAAAGATGAATGAGGGTATTCGCACGATTGGATGAGATGTGTTTGATAACATGAAGTCAACAAAGTTAAAACATTTCCCTTGGATTAAATCGAGCGAGCAAAATAAAATAGACGTCAAAATATAAGCAATCAAAATTCACAAGAAAATAAATATAACTAAACAGATTAATGACCTAAAGGCATCGAGAAATTAAAATGACAAAGATATTTAAATAAAATAAAAGAGAATGTAACTAATTATCTAAAGAAGTTATTTAAACTAAATTAAAAATTTAAGATTACTTACTAAAAAAAAAAATTCTAAACTAACTACAAATTCTAAGGTTGCAAAAAATAGTCCTAAAATTACTAAATTAGATCTAAGCTAAATTAAACATTTTAAAATTAGTAAAATAAAAACTAAATAAAAATCCCAAGGTTGCTAATCTAAAACAAAAAAGTTCCAAAGTTACTAAACTAAATCTAAATCAAATAAAATTCTAGAAGAATATTAAACTAATTCTAAACAACTAAAATTCTAAACTTATTAAACTAATTCTAAATCAAATAAAAATTATAAACTCATTAAACTAATTCTAAATCAAATAAAGTTCTAAAGTCCCTAAACTAAAACTAACAACTAAAATTCTAAAGTTAACTTAAATGAAATCAAATAAAATTCTAAAGTTTACTAAATTAAAACTAAAACAAATAAAATTCTAAATCTAAATGAAATAAAATCCTAAAGTTACTAAAATAAAACTAAAACAAAATAAAATTCTAAAGTTTACTAAGTCAAATCTAAATGAAATAAAATCCTAAAGTTACTAAAATGAAACTAAACAAAATAAAATTCTAAAGTTTACTAAGTCAAAACTAAAACAAATAAAACTCTGAAATTTACTAAGTCAAATCTAAATGAAATAAAATCCTAAAGTTACTAAAATAAAACTAAACAAAAATAAAATTCTAGAGTTTACTAAATAAAATCAAAACAAATAAAATTCTAAAATTTACTAAATCAAATCTAAATGAAATAATATTCTAAAGTTACTAAAATAAAATTAAAACAAATAAAATTCTAAAGTTATTAGTTATGATTCTAAATATTTTAAAGTTATAAAATAAATCTAAACTAATTAAAAAATTCTAAATTAATACTAACTAAATCTAAATATAAGATTGACTAATATTTTTTTATATTGGTAGTACATCTTCTGCATTATTTATTTGTAAACAACCCAAGTTTAAATGAATGATTGATTTTGATAATAACTAAGGTGAGAGATGTATTGCTAGTACGTTTTTCACTCTTCGAATAATAATACTAAAACACCTAAAAAGTGAGATTTTTTACTTTTCTTTCAAAATATGGATTCAACCACTTAGGATTTGGCAAGTGGTATGAAATAAAACAAAATTTAAAAAAAATGGTATATGATGAAAATATAACTCAAAAGAGAGAAAGAGTCTCCACTCCAAATATAACCTCTGTTTCACGATTTGTTCTTCTTCATAGTAATAAAAATTCCCTTTTTCCTTCCAAAGAAATCTCAATCTCTCTTAAAATGTTACCCACGAGCCGATAACCACACCATTCAAACACACAAAGGCCTGGAAGATTAGAAGAAACGAAAAAAAGAATGGAAGCCATACGTACCGACGGTGAAGCGGGAGTCGGTTGTGGTTTAGATCTGGCGGTGCAGTGGTTACTGCAGGGACGACAATCGATGTGTTGTGAGGGTGGATTACACGGGGCTGACTGGTGATAGTGTGAGTGTTGTCGGTTGATCGAAGGTGGTTGTTCGATTTTGTCCGTGTCGGAAGTTGCGGGTTTCGCTCCTTCTCAATTTTTCGACTCATTCTCCTCTTTGAATAACTTTAGTTTTGTTCTAAAAAAAGTTATTTCCTTGTAGGTTTTTTGATAATTGAGTGTTGGTTTGGTTTGTGATGAGGTTTAGAGTGAGTTTATGTTTGGTGTTATGATGATTTTACAGGTTTTGTTTATGGTGTGTTTATGTGGGATTTCTTTGAGAATTTTTCTGTGTGTATGTTTTAACAGAGTTGAAGATCTGCTTTTGTGTTTTTGTGTGTGATTCTTTGTGAATTTTTCCCCCATTACAAAGAGATAAAGAAACTTAAAATAGAGAAAATGAAAAGGAATATTATGATTTCAAAATAAATCCAAGCCGTTCAATATAAATTCAATCTCTATCAATCCGCAAATCATGCTATCAACCAATGAGAATTAAGCAAAGCCTAGTTAATATTTTTGTGACCAAAAAGTCCCTGAATGACCAAAATAAAATAAAAACCTGAAACTATAAAAATTAAATCAATTTAAAATAATTTTTTTGAATTTTTTTTAAATAAAAAATAAAGAACCAAAATGATCGAAAACGATAAAAAGAACGGACGAAAATTTATCCGAAAAAAATAAAATGAACACATTAAAATAAACTACATGTCACAAAGATTACAGAAAAAATATTCAAAAAAGTAAAAGTAGGAATAAAATGATAATGAAAATGCCAGGCTAAATAGACGTTTTACGGTTAAAAACGAGACTCCGAACTGTATCGAAAAAATAAAGCGAGCATACCGTCATAATCTATGCGAGATGCAGATTTATAAAATGATCGGTAAAAGGTGAAAACTTGAAATATTTTTCTCGCTATTTTTTCGCACATTGTTGAATCGCTTTTAACAGTTTGTCTATAAAACCAAAATATTTTTATTATCGACATATAAACAACTTGGAGCAATGCAAGAAACGAGTAAAGAGATAAAAATGCATGAAGTGAAATGTCAGGTAAAGACGATGCAAACTTTGATTTAAACAGACTTTTCTGGTCAACTTAAATACGACTAATGATGCAAAATATGATGGATGAAGATATTTACTAATGATTGTGACCAAATGACAAAATATGGTATGAATGTGCGACTGAAAAAATTAGGGGCGAAATTAAGGGTGCAACGGTGTGCCTTGATGAATCAGTCTTCGAGAATCCACAATCAACTGTACTTTTGGCTTGGGAGACTCAAAACCTTAATTGAGGCGCGACACCTGATGCTCTTGATTCAGACCTGTCTCTGCACATGACACAAAAGAAAACATGAACATACACCTTTGTATGCGATTAGAAATTAGTGATACATATGCTAAAAATGTTCTAAAAAACTTGACAATCTTCGCATAGTCAAAGCTCGAAGGTGAGACGTTAAAACCGACCGTATTTCGTGACCTTGACTTATCTTTAAAAATACAAAAAATAAAAATGGGACCTTAGGTCAAAAATTGGGGTACAACAGGTTCAACAACCACCCCTATTGGTATTGGTTTTCTTCCTTTCTATTTATCCTTTTACCTATTTTCATTCTTTCTGTTTAAAACTTTTTTATCATAAAACTTAACATTTTTCACAAACCTTTGATTTTTCCTCGTAAACTCAAATAATTAATTTTAGGTTTTTAATTTCATTGTTTATTTTTGGTTTCTAACCAATTTATCTTTTTCAATATTAAATTCACTTAACCACGAAACTTTTTTCACAAACCTTTTTTTTTTTTTATAAAAAACCTAATTTGATTTTTAGGTTAATTAATTTTATATTTTTTTAACTTTTTTCAAAATTAACCTTTTTTTTATTAATTAAAATTAATTAGGATTTAGGTATTTTAATTAACTTTTTTCCAAAATTAATATTTTTTACTAATTAAAATTAATTAGGTTTTTTTAGATTTATTTAATTAATTATCCTAAATCACCAAAAATATTAACTTAGAATTTTAAGTTTTAATTTTTCCTTAATTTCTTTTTATTTATTCTTTTACATTTTAATATCTAGAAAAATTGTATAGGTCGCATTATCAATGTAATAGCGTAGATTTATCTTTTCTCGCATTTTTTTCTAATTATGTAATTGCTTCCGGATTGTAATAGTAATTAGGGTTTAAATTCCGCATTTTTATTTTCAGTCCAAAATAATTATGTATCTGCAAAAGCCTTGTAATAGCTAGGACTTTAAACTTTCTGCATTTTATTTTCGCAAACTATAAACAGCTTAGATGTATGTTAATAGAATTGTATGGAAAGACTAATTGAAAATTAAAACAGTAGATCACCTTAATTGTGCAAAGATTAAATAACTGAAAGCAAACACATGCACATGCTCACTCTTAGGGTATGCCTCACTTGGTTTCCTCGGAAAACAATGGTCATGTCCCTCGAACGTAGGGATATCTTAGCAAAGACCCTCGGTTAAAATCATCATAAAGATCATGGTCCCTCGATGTCCCTCGAAGTTGCCTACGGTATATGATCTTGTCCCTCGATGTTGCCTACGAATATATGATGACAGTCCCTTCGTAATGCTAAGGTATCCTTACATATTTCCTTCAATGACCATTACGTCCCTTTCAAATTGACCCTTACATATTCCAACGACGGTGCTACTTATTCACTAATAGTGGGATAGCGCTGTCTAAAGGAAACAAGAACAGAAACGATCTTTTTTCGAGTAGGTAGATGTTAGTAGGTACTTGCTCAAAACCAAATTTTCCACACTTACACTCTTTTCAAACAAAGTTTTCAAAACGACTTCGTAATACTCTTGAAGACAGAAGCAAGGGTTAAATCGAAGTAAAACAAAAACTTTTCAAAACACACAAACACGGAAGCAATTTTTTAAAATGATGACCAAGTACCTAAGAGCCCGTATAAAACTACGGATAGAAAGGGTGATAATACCTTCCCTTTCTATAATCTACTCGCCGTACTCAAAATCTCAAAAAAGGAATTTTTCTGTGCTTTTTTCCTTTCCAGTTGGATAAAATAAAAGTCGGTGGCGACTCTTGCTTACCGCAACATTTTTAACAAAAAAAACATAAACCAGTATAACAGTCGGTTCTGCCACCGTATCACAACCATCATAGCCATTTCCACCAATCCTTCCAAGGTTTCCTCAAGAAAACCTGTTAGGGGTTACACCTGTTCCAAGAATTGCTCCGTTAATAATCACCGCTCCAGGTCCCATCCCATATACCTCAGATAAGGCTATCCCGTGGAATTATGGTGCTGATGTATATTACCATGGTGTAAAGCAAGATCTACGGACTGAAGAAGCTGATGCTGACATCAATAATATTGTCGGGGCTAGCAAGGTCACCAGAAGTGGAAGACTATTTTCTCCCGAGATTTCCCCTCCAACTATCCATAAACCTGTTGTCATTCCATCTACCAATATATCAACTATTGTCCCAATTCCTATTCCAGTTATCACCCCTGTCGCCGAGCCATCTGGGACTCGGGGCAAAGAAATCATAGGTGAGCCTGCCCGGACGGAGGCACCTAAGAAGATCATTGTAGAAACCTTTAAACAAGAGATATAGGAAATACTGAAGATTATCAAGAAGAGCGACTACAACATAGTCGAGCAGCTGCGGCAGACTCCGTCAAAGATCTCCATGTTGTCCCTATTGTTATGTTCTGAAGCCCATGCGAAGGCTTTAATCACATTTCTCAAGATTGTACATGTGCCGCAGGAAACTTCAGCCGATCAGTTCAAAGATTGCATGGCCAGCCTGACTGCTGACAATGGGCTAGGTTTTTCAGATGCGGACCTGACCCCAAAAGGGAGAATTCATAATGATGCTCTACAAGTCTCGATCGAGTGCAGGGGCACCACTATGGCCCACGTGCTGGTGGATACCGGGTCCTCAGTGAATGTTCTGCCAAAGAAAGCGTTAGACCGTCTGGATTGTGAAGGTTTGATTCTAAAGCCGAGTAACATTGTGGTAAGGGCTTTTGATGGATCGAAGAGAATGGTGCACGGGGAGGTGGACATCCCTATCAAAGTTGGCTCTCAGACTTTTGCATCCACCTTCTACGTGATGGATATCAGGCCATCATATTCTTGCTTGTTGGGTCATCCTTGGATTCATAAGGCTGGGGCAGTGACTTCCACACTCCATCAAATGTTGAAATATCCGGTAAAGAGGAAGATTGTTACAGTGCGAGGTGAAGAGGAGTATATGGTGAGTCATCTCAATTCCTTCCGCTACGTGGAGATGGACGGGGAGTTCATAGAAACCCCTTGTCAGAACTTCGAAGAGGTCCCTCAGACTTTAGCGTCAACTGAAGTTACTACCAACAAACCTCCGCTGAAGATGGCTTCTCTCAAGGATGCCAGGGCTGTAATTGAAGAAGGTGGGTGTACCAATTGGGGTCAGCTCCCTGATTTCTCTCACAAAACTGACAAATTTGGTTTGGGCTTTACTACAGGGGATCAAAGGGTTGTTGGGCGCACACGGATTGGAAGACCTCCTATGCACATCAGCAATCGGGGAGTTAATGCAATTGAGGATAGTGAAGAAGATTCAGACATCGGCAGCTGGATCTACCCATCGAAGTCCAAATACCCTCTCTCAGGATTATGAAGGATGCAGGTTTGAACGAAGACGGCCGGATCCAAACCCGACTTAATCAGCTAAATTTAATCGATGAAAAGAGACTTACTGCTATCTGTCATGGTCAGACGTATCAAAAGCGAATGATCAAGGCTTTTAACAAGAAAGTCAGACGCCAAGAATATCAAGTTGGGGATCTAGTGATCAAACGCATCATACTACTGCAAGGGGATCCCAGGGGCAAATGGACCCCCACATACGAAGGGCCATTTGTGGTTAAGAACATTTTCTCGGGAGGAGCTATGATTCTAACCACCATGGATGGTGACGACCTTCCTCACCCCGTCAATGCAGATATAGTGAAAATATACTACGCATAATCAAAGACCCGCTAGTTTGACTGGCCTAGGCAAAAATAAGGGCTTCCCGGCGAACCAAAAGGGTTCGGGCAA